GCCACTGTGGATGATGGTCCCCAGGGTCAGGCAATGGAATGGGAAGGCACCCACAGGACCTGAGCCTTTTCATAAAGCCCCAGCTCCTGAAGACAGGGGATGAGAGCTGGATCTTGGCTGGCAGGTTCAGAAATTAGAAGGCCTGAACAAAAAAAATGGAAAGGAAGGTATATATTGGTGTCGGGGCTGTATCTGGGGGTGGGTATTGATGTGTGTATGGGAGAGTTGTTAGAAGTCTGCATATATGGGCATGGGGGCTTGATCATGTGTCTGTGTGTCAGGGGGAATAGCTGTGTATGTCCATGTATGGGCATGTGGCTGCACATAGGAGGAAATGTCTGTGTGTATGGGTGTGCACATGGGTGTGTGGGTGCACAAGGGTGGGGGTGGGGGGAGCATGTGTGGGGCAGACACTGGTGGCACTGTTTTCTCCCCTTGCCCCCAAACTTAAATAGGCAAAGATTCTCAGCACCCAGACTACCTGGCATGAGAGTCCCAACTTGTGACTCCTGGCTATGAGATGTGGTAAGAACAAAGATAAATAGCTCTGGCCCTTCCCCTCAGCAATACAAGAGTTATCCAAAGTAAAAAGTTTTGCAGCAAGTGTCATTTCCCAACAGATTTTGGTTTCTGCCTTCTACCCTCTAACATAGCCCTCCTCCCCACAACCCAGGGCCAGGCAGAGGCATGGGCAAACTGGGCGGCCAGCCAGGGCCCGGACAGAAAAGGCCCCAAAAAGGTCATATTTATTATTATTATTATCTCTGGCGAAGAGGGGCCCGATACTAAAAGTTCGCCTGGGGCTGCCAGGAGCCTAGGTATGGTGCTGCCCCCACCCCATCAGAAAATGGTGAATAATCCATAGCAAAAAAAAAATTTACAGAGACATGTCAATTTCTAACTTCTGGTTTGGAGAGAAAAAGGAAGGTGGGGAAATGCTTTAACCATTTCAGAATGGGACATTTCACGCATTTGTGTTTCGAAATAGCTTCATTTTGTATCTCTTGTTGTGTTGTCAAAAAAGTCAAAACTGGGGGTGTGTAACAGCCAGAACCAGAGGAATTAATAAGCAATAAATATGTGCTTCTTGGAGGCATTTGGTATTTTGCCTAAACAGGTAATATTAGTTAATATAAAGCTTGTAAGTTTGTAAACTGCAAATGTAACTTGTCTGTCATAAGTTTAACCAAAATGATAAAATTAACTGTTCCTGGAACTGACTGGGCCCCTTAGGCAAAGCTGTAGCTGTAAGACTAGGAGACCTAACAGTTTTTTGCTCACGGTTCAGCCTTAATGATAAAACTGAATCAAACAGCCCAGTTGGCCTGTGATAAAACTGATACACTCACAGTGCCCAGCTGGCCTGCCTAAGACTGGGAGCAGAGGAAGGCACTCAGCTCCATCAAGTGAACCAATCCTTAAAAGACCAAGTGACCCAGCTTGAGAGGGAATTAAGGGAAGAAAAGGATTCTAGCAGTGTCACGTGTGCGGCTGCCAGAGCTGCTCAAGACCAACTAGAGATACTAGAACGTCAGGACGGAAAGACACTAGTCACATGGTCCGGGTATTTTGTGGTTCCGCCATATGGATGAAGTGGGGATCGCTCACAGAATTGAATACACAATAGCTGCATATCGCCAATCAGTCTGGGAAAATCTGCAGGGTACAGCCCTGGTCAACCCAGAACAACTGGCTGAGCCCTTAGAGGCACCGTACCAGAATCATTCCTACAAGATACCAAAGCCATAGTTGTACCTGGGCAGTGTGTATTTAAGCATACAGATGGGGACACACCTGAGCAAATGCGCTCCTACGACCAACCCGATTGGGAAATTTACCAATCCCAAAAGGAAGAAGGAAGATGGTTAAACACTTGAACAGGAGAACCCCTAGCCGTTTTTTGCATTAAGCAGGGATGTACCTTGTTAATCCAAAAGGAGCCACCACAGGCGTATCCACTACCTCGCTTATCTAACATCACTCCCTGGTGGAGGTCCCAAACCAGGACTCTGGTCCTCCTTAATGCCTCCTTGTTCAATGCCCATATCACATTTAACCCCAAGCAATGGTTTGTCAGAACAGCATTTCCTAACTGCTCTGCTGGCACTCGGTTGGCAGGAAATATGCTGCGTTGGGCCTGGCCAACTGTTTTCCAACCCACAGCCCAGCCTCTAATTGCCTGGAAAAAGAGGGATACCCTAGACCATGTGTGGAATGGGCTCAACTCAGCCATGGGAGTTGGGAACATAGATAAATCCCAGAAAAACATCCAAGGAATCATGGATATACGACGAGCCATAGGTTTTCTCACTAAGGGAGGTATGATTGATAACATGGCTTTAGAATACACTGATGAGTTAGTGGCAACCATTGGATGAAAAGCAGCACAAATAAGTCACCTTTTGATGCATGCAGCCTTCCAAGCTGATGCTAATCAAACCTGGAGCACTGCTTGTGCCCAAGCGCAGCTTTCACTTAACCTTCATTTTTCCCAGGTAATGAGTGATCTCAGACACAAAGAATGGCCTGCTGGTTTAGAGTACCATGGACTACCCCCAGCTTTAGCTCAACAGTTAGTTTACTGAGACACATGGAGCACACGCTGGGAGGGGTGTAGCAAAACAAAGTGCTTTTTCATTGTACACGGGATAGGAAATGGCACATGGTCCACCGCTGTTGACAACAGGACTAGGAGGTGGGTGCATGTGGGACTGGGACTTGCATCATCCCATTTGGGAAACTGTAACCCCCGAAGGTCTCAAGTATTTGGCCCAATCCCCAGTGTATCCTGTAAATGGCATTCTAATAGGCTTGGGAACTTTATGGAGAGGGTGGCCTGATAGTCCCCCCATCATGGTTTGTGTAACACCCCTACCAGCAACTCCCTATATTACCCTAGCCCAGCGAGTTTGCTGGGAAGGTCCTGGCCGCTTATATCATCCTAACAGTACATTTATGATTAGCTTAATGGTACATTTTGGACCTCCTGCACCAGCTGCTGTGCAGAGGCTCAAGATTTCCAAGGGGCATCAGCTACCCTATATGTCCACAACCAGGAAAACCAGCTTAATGTGGCCAAAAACCCAATTAGAAAGTGTCACCCTTAACCTGTCTGCCAAAAAACTGAGTTAAAGATGTAGACATGCCCCAGCTAAAGGGATGGGGTGAAGTAGCGACCTACATTAGTTTGTTTGAAAAGGAAAACAACTTGCCCTCATAGCTCAAGAGGGAGGGAGAATTATTAAATGTGCTACTAATATTCCCCTGCTATGTAAGTGGTATGAAGTGCTCAGTACTGTGCAAATGTATACCTTTACTAAAGGTGCTCCTTTTCCTTTGTTTGTAGTAGTAATAAGTTTAGTCATAGAAATAATATTATTCAATATAATCTTTAAATGTTGTTATTATAAAATTAAGTCTAATACCTATGCCAAAGTAAATGTTGTTGCTTCTGCCAACCATGTACACGCCACCTGGCAGAAATCATATTTGTAGGCCTTACCAAATGCTCCAAAGAAGCAAGGGGTGGATTGTAACAGCAAGAACCAGAGGAATTAATGAGCAATAAATATGTGCTTCTTGGAAGCATTTGGTATTTTACCTAAACAGGTAATATTAGTTAATATAAAGCTTGTAAGTTTGTAAACTGCAAATGTAACTTGTCTGTCATAAGTTTAACCAAAATGATAAAATTAATTGTTCATGGAACTGACTGGGCCCCATAGGCAAAGCTGTAAGATTAGGAGACCTAACAGATTTTGCTCAGGGTTCAGCCTTAATGATAAAACTGAATCAAACAGCCCAGTTGGCCTGTGATAAAATTGATACACTCACAGTGGCCAGCTGGCCTGTGACAGGGGTGGGAAGGACTGTTGATTTTTTCTTATAGAAATATCTTGGTTGATCCAGGGTAATTTTTTCCATGAAAAATTTCATGAGAAATTTCAAGTGCTGTGGTCAAGGTGGCGATTGTGGTGTTTCTCATTCCATTTTGGAACAGGAACAAAATTTGGACTCACAAAATCGCCCTCAAAATGGAAAATCCAGCATCTGCTTCACAGCCACAAGAAGTTGGGGCAGGGGGGGGCAGGCTTGGTGCTCCCTACACCCACAGGGCTCATGATGCCAGCACAGGGGGCTCCACTCGCTGCAGTTAATTATATGGTGGGGATGGAGAAAGCTTCTGTTAACCTCAGGGAGGTAAGGGCAGTAAAAGTTGCACTCCTGCATCAATGCATAAATGTAATTTAAGAACTGTGCCCCAGCTCATGTCCTTTTTTGTCTCCCCAGCTCTATGCTGTGAGTTATCTCCCAGAGTTGAAAGGAATCAGGCCCCACGTGCGGCACTGCCAGGCTCCACACTCCCTCTTGTCCTTGAGACCAGCAGTCTCTCGACTCGAACAGTCCTGCTGATGGCATTGCAAGGGTAATGTGCACTGGTTCCTATGCTTCGGTGTTTTCCATGCACCCCTAATTTAAGCCCCATGTTCCTCTATTGTAAGAAGCTGCACAGGAACATCTTTTTTTCCCTGCATTTAACCCTGCAGAAGGACCATGCTGCATGAGGATGACAGTCCTCCCAGGGCTGGCATTCCAACCAGAAACCCAAGTTCTGCCTAGTCCTATATGCCACCTCCCTTGCTTTCATCCCAGAGCTCACAGCGCCACTTGCTGGTGGTTCATATGTCAGCAGGTGGTCCTTTTTTATCCAAAATAGGCCAAATCCAGTTTGCTGTTTCCTGCCTGTATTTTTCCAGGTGTGTTGGTACTAAGCCTCTCTCCTCACCCATGCTGGGGATCTCTCCAAATTAAGGGATGCCTGCAAATGTCATGAAAATATGATGAATGTTATTTACTTCCTTTTGCAGATCATTAGTGACCAGAGCAGGACAAACACAGGCATTTGTGGTGCCATCAGGAACTGTGCTACCTGACACCTTTCAGTCACAGAAAGATGGCATTGAGTGAGGCCATCAGGAAAGGTGTCTCTAGTAAAGACATGAAGGAACAGTGCCATTGCACAGTAGCATAACAAAGGATGGGTAAGAGGGTGTCAGCCCTAGGTCCTCACTTAGACGGGGTGCCAGAATGGTGCTGGGTGCAGGGAATCCATTGCTACAATTGTGTGTAAGCAGACACTGCACCAATAGCAGCTGGGACTTTGTGTCCTTGGGTTGATAAAACTAACCTACCTCTCTCTCTACCCCTACTGCTCTGTACCTTCTCCACCTCCCACCCTGCAGGGTTTTGTCCAGAGTACAAAACTTGCAAGTTATATCTCTGTTGTTATACAAGGCCCTCATGAAGTCCTATCTGAAATATTGGCTACTACAATTCTGGTCGCCTGTATTCAAGAAAAATGGACTTCACCTGAAACAGCCCTGGAAGAGCAGAACTGATGGGAAGATCAGGTGAAGGCTAGTCAGGTCTCAGGGAGGGCAGGATCAAGCAGGTCATCCCACCTACCCAAGCCCACTGACACACTCCAGAGAGGGAGGTCACCTGTGAGACTACTCTGCGCTTGTCCCCAGCACCCACTCATGGGGCTGTGATCTTCAGCAGGTCTGAAAGTAGCTGTTGAGGATGAATCTGGAGTAGTTTCATAGATAAACTTCAAGCTGTGGAGCATGTCCATACATTCAAGTGGGGAGGCTGGGCTTAGCTATGTCCTTCCAGAGACCTACCCGTGACAGGAAATGGACATCCCTGGAAGAGCATAGGCTTCCAAATCTAAAGCTGAGAGGGGCTACCAGCACTCTTTATAAATGCTTCAAGGGGAGGGGAAAAGAGCCATTTCAACTAATGGACAGCATTCACCCAAGAACAAATGAGTATAAACAGAATGAGTTTAGCCTGGAAATTAACAGATGGTCTTTAAACTACCAGAGTGTACTATTCTGGAACAGTCAGCCAGTATGAAAAGCAGGGGCAAGAAACCTAACTGGTTTTAAGATGGACCCCCAATATGTTTAAGAAAGACACTTTATAAAATGTCTGCCTATAGTCCTTGTGGACTGGAACAATGACCACAGAGCTCCTTTCCAGGCTTATGTTGCAAACCAAACTAGGGCCAACAAGGTTCAGCTAATCCACCATCCTATCAATGACTGCCTGAGAGGAAGATGTGTGGAGCCTTGCAGTAAGTGGTTACAGCAGAGTCAGCTCCCACACAAGGGCTTTGCAAACTACAAAACTGCAAAACTTAAAGTTGTGCCCCAAGTTTGAGGCTATATAGCTTCATACAGCAGTGTAAAGATGCAGCTGGGAGCCCAGGACAAAGCACCGATTTGTGGATCACAATCCCAAATGCAAACACCCAGATCAGCCACCTTTTTTCATTTCCCTGTCCCTACCAATTTGCCACCCAAGGCAGTTGCCTATATCACCCCCCACCCCAGTTATGCTACTGGATTTATAACACATTTGGATTTCTTAAACCTCTGCTAAAAATTCTCAGGTTTCTTATTATCCATATAAATATCTGCCCTTCTAATCCTACTTAACCCATGGCATCAACAACACCTTTGGACAATGAGATCTGCAGGTTCTTGCTGCTATGTGTCTGAAAAAAATGTTTCATTTTTCTGTTTTTGTTTTAAATTTCCCACTCTTGTCATTTGCTGGCTGTCTCCTTGGCCTTGTCTACCGAAGCAGAGAGAACAGGAGTTCCTGATCTGCCTTCGTCAGCCAGAAGAGGATTCAAGGTCTGAGGAAAACAGGCTTGCAGTAAGGGACTTAAATCTGTTCAGATTATCCAAAGAAGTGGGGGAGGAGATTTAATCACTGTTTACATGCCTTGTTGGGAAGGGAGATATCAGGTACTAAGTGTGTGCGTCTACACATGCAAATCATCCAGGAGCAGTTTACTCTTGAGTAAACTCTCCTGAGTATGTGTGTACACATGCAGGGAGGCAGGAGCAGATTTGCTATTCCTAGCAGCAGCAGCAGATTGCTCCCGCTCCCTGTGGCTCTGCAAGGGGCCCTTGCAGCAGCCTGGGGGAGCTCTAGGCTCCCCCTTAGTGCTAGCCCAAGGACCAAGAGACAGCTGTCTCCTGGTGGCAGCTGCAATACTGCCAACCCCACCATGTCATGAGACCAACTCTTAAAAATAAAGAGATTTGGAATATATATCATGAGATGCTATTTTTGAAGTGTGTGCATGTGGGGGTGGTTATTTGTGAAGGTGTGTGGGGCTTTGGGTATGTATATGAGGGTTGGAGCATGGGGAGGGGGGTCCCTGCATACACTGGCAGGATGTGGGGTATTGTGGGTCAGGACTGAAGGGCAGCAGCAGGGCTGGGGGGCTGTGGTTTGGGCATGAGGTGTAGATACACAGATACACAGCTGCCCATGGCTCTGTTGCATGACTTGCCCCATCCCTGGTGTCCTATTCATCCTAGCCCCTGCCACACTCCATCCTTCACTGTGGGGGCCTTGATCTGCCCTCCCCCACCCCACTTCCCTCTCTTCCTGCCCCTTCTCCTCCACAGACCTACCAGCTTGGTACTCTCTACACGCACCACAAGAAAAAATCCCAAGATTTGATCTCTCTATCAGGGGATCATGAGTCAGAGTTAATTTGACTTGGAAATCAGGAGTCTTGTGATTTTTTTCCATGAGAGTTGATGTCACTGCAGCTGAAACATTGCTCCCTGGCCAGAGGAGCTGTCTGCTGCCAGAACGGGCTCTGCCACTGGAGCCTGGGCAGGGACAATATCCCCCTACCCTGGTAGCAGGGAGCTCCCAGCCCCAGCTCCGTGGTTGTGGGGCCTGGTCTGGGAGATCCTTATCTCCTAGCTTGAGCCCTGCAGTTGTGGGGCCGGCACCAGGAGAGAAGGATCTCCTAGCACTGGCCCCACAATCATGGAGCCAGGGCTAGGAGCTCCATGCTGCTGGGGCAAGGGGACATTGTCCCTGTCCAGGCTTCAGTGGCAGAGCCCACCATGGCAGCAGGCAGCTCCCAGGGGCAAGAAGCAATCTCCTACCTCCTGCTGCCCAACTGACCAGGAGTACATTTGCTCCCATCAGGGGTCTACACATGTGCCACTGCACAGTAAATAATCTCTAGTAAATTTGCTACTTGCATCTGCAGGTAGCAAATTGACTCTCAGAGCCAATTACTATGCAGTAAGTGTCTGCAAATGTAGGTGCCGACACTTACTGTGCAATAATTCACTTTACTGCTCAGTAAAGAGTCTCATGTAGACGTGCCCAGTGCTTTTCTCTTTAATGTAGAAAAGCAGAACAGGCTGGAAGCTGAAGCTAGGCAAATGCTAATAAAGTAGGCCATTGGAGGAGGCTGCCAAAGGAAGCAATGGTGTCTCCATGTCTTCACCTCAGACCTAAAACTTTTCTGAAAGCGATGCTCTATGAAACACAAATTAGTTATTGCTTCTAGCAATCTACCCTTAAAACTCAGACTCTATTAGCCAGTGCCCATTCAGTCACACACACGTAATTCTGGATGAAGAGCTGTGTCCCTACAGTGATACAAGATGCCCAGCCATCACCTGACAGACAATTGTCAGTCTTCTCTTCTGTGAGAGCTTCATCCCTCTTTCCCTTTGTAGGTGTGCAGATCATTGAATGAATGGGATGGTTCACTCCCCACTCACTTTTCTGGGTAATCAGGTCTCCTTCATTGCTGGGACCAAGTTACAGATACCATGTCATCTGAGCTTCTGTCTGATGGTGCATTGCCCTTTGTCATCTAAAGGGACAGCAAGGATAGGGCTCAAAGAAACCTTAGGAGGTCACTTCGTTCAACCCCCTGCTGAAGGTAGGAACATCCCCATCTAAACCATCCTACACAAATGACTATCTAATCTTCACTTGAAAAGCTCCAGTGATATAGGTTCCCATATCATCTCTGGGTAATCTGTTCCAATAGTTAACCATCCTAAGAATTAGAAAGTTCTTCCTAATATCCAACCGAAATCTCCCTTGTTGCATTACAGCACATTACCAGGGATCCTGGCTTTCACTGTTTAAAAATGGCAAATTCTCTAATTAAAAACCCTAAATCCGAGATTAAAATGAAATGCCACTATATATATAGGTATCAATTGAACACAATGTTTTATTAATATATTTAAAATTTTAAAGCAATTTGGAAGCCCACCAGTGCCTCAATCACTATAATAAAATAAATTCTAAGTACCTATACATTTTGGCATTTGACTCTGTGGTTTTTGTAATGGAATATCAGAGCTCCCTTTGCCCCCTTAGCTCACCAGGATGCAGGTCCAGGCCCCTCACTCCCAAGCCACAGCCCCCCACCACTGCTGGTGCGCCTCACACCCCACCCACAG